TTTTATAAACCCTCCCCCAGGTCCACTCCACCATGTAGCCATCACTCTAGACTCCTGTCATGACAGAAATACCTAATCACATATCTCTTTTAAACAGTTTTCTCGCTCCTCTGTTTCCTCCAGAGTGTTTGTCCTCTAGACACTCTCCAGAAAGTCCATCCTCTAGACAACCCTCCACCTAGTCGTCCAGATAGTTTGTCCGCTAGACAATTTCCAGACAGTTCTCCAGACATATACTCTCTATTCTAGATACTCTCTAGATATCCTCTAGATACTCTCCAGACTGTCCTCCAAACAGGCCATCTTCTAGATAGCTCTACAGTTAGTCCTCCAGACAGTTAGTCCTCTGGACAACCTTCCAGACAGACGTCTAAACAGTCCATCCTCTAAACCACCCTCCAGAGAGTCCTCCAGACAGTTCCTCCTCTAGCCACTCTCTAGATAGTCCTTGAGATATTTTGTCCTCTAGACAGCCCTCTAGATAGTACTCCAAACAGTCCATCCTCTAGACAACCTTCAAGACGGTTCATATTCTAAACCACAATCCAGACAGTATTCCAAACAGTCCATCCTCTAGACAACCCTCCAGACAGTCCTGACTACTCTCCAGGTAGTCCTCCAGACAGCTCCCTCTGTTCTAGCCACAGGCTATTCAACCTTCTTGTTCTGAGCTTCTCCCTTGTTTTTCCTTTGACCCTCTTCATCCCCTTATAACATAAAACCAGAGCCATTATAAAATCAAAACATTATTTATGCCTGTAAACATTTCAATGACTCTCACTGCATGTGGATTAAAGTAAAAACTCTTAACTCTCCTGAGGCCCTCATTATGTGTTTCCTCTCTGGCCTTCTCTTTATTCTGCTCCAACCCTGCTGCCTTCCTTTCTGCTTTGCATCAGTGCATTTAAAACTGTCTGTAGTGAAGGCTTGTCTGTTGTGTTTTCAATTCTGTAAAATTTTTGCATAACTAAAAAAATGGCACAAAGGTACAAAGCATGAGAACAAATATTATTAAATTCCACAGACATTAAATTCCTCTACCAAATAGCTATACGTATTTCTGAATGCTTCCTCTCAAATTTAGCCCCCATCTTCTTATAGCAGCTGAGTTCAGCACCAGCACTTTTGAATTGCAGGACCGTGGGACATCCAGTGCCCTTGACTCTTCTCAGGGCTGCCTCCTACCCTTCGGGTGCAGCTCAGAGTGAGAACACCCCTAAAACTACTTCTTGCCTTACAAGTCACCACTTCTTCACTCTTCATCACTGCTCAAATGTTTCTTATTTACTAGTTTTTTCTTTGTTATCTATTCCTTCTTTGTACATCTCAAAATTCATGCATGTACGTACACACACACACACACACACACACACACCCAAAAAACAAGCAGACCAGTGAACACAGACATACTGAGATCAAAGGAGAACACAAACATTTTGCCTTGAACTTAAGAGAAATGTTGAAGAACTGTAGACTCTTGACAAGAGAGTAGTTTTCTAAACAGCTTAAGTTCTAAGGGTAGAATCGAAGGCATTACCAACATGCACTAGCCTAAGTTAGCAAAGTCTCTGAGGGCTAAAATAGCACGTCCTTCCTATACAATGCAGGAAGAGCTAGGATGCAGGTAGGCTGTTGCACTGGGGCTTTGAGAAAATCCTATGGTATTTGTGAACCATGGAAATGGGATATTTGTCTACTGTAAGAAAATGAGTATTGACTTCTTCAAGTTTCATGATAATGCAAGTATGATTTTTGTGCCTTATTTTGCCTGATCTAGTGACCACAGACAATTCTGATTCCCTCTCCCTTCCATCCTCTTATGGCTGCCTCCTCTTGCCCATCTGCCCTTCTAGTCATTCCATCCCCACTGACTGTGCCAAGGGCCAGCTGTCAGGACAGCTCCTCTGTATGAAACAATACTATGGGCTCTTTTCCTCCTACCGACTCCCCGGCCACATTCAGGACACATTGGTGGCCCAGAAGAGCAGTGTCATGCCTGAGCCTGAGCACATCATTGTGGCCTGCCAAAATCAGGTAAGCAGCTTTTCCCACCTTTGGTTTTGGGTTGGGGCAGTTCATGGGCCTACAAATGGCCACTTGTGCATATCCTATCCAATGTTTTCACAGTGTTTCCCATAGGAAGCAGAAGTGAAGTAACCAAAAACTTGGGTATTCTGACCTGACCAGCCCAATTTCTCTCCACTGATTGGTTTTAATAATTAGAAAATGCTCTTATAGACTAACATTTGAACCCCTGAGAGTCAGGTCAGATCAGAAATAGACCCTTTAGGGCTGAGATTCCTTAATAAAAGCCCAACATGGTTGTGTCCTTGTCACCTGCAGACTTACTCAATCTGTGTCACTCCTGAGGCTTACACATGGACAGTTAGAGCTACAGGTAGTCCAACTGGATAAACCATGTGCCAGGTGCAAGCTTAGTACATAAACCACTGCAATCCACACATACATGGTTCAGGGCTGGATAGAGGTTGCACTCAGCTAGATGAAAAGGATGTTTGGACATCCTCTCAAAAAGTTTCCTTTTAGTAAAGCTTAATCTTTAAATTGAGGCTCAGCTTAGAGTCTAACAAAGTCAACAGGGTTGAGTTGATCCCCAAATTGTGACCACTCAGAACATCAAATACCCTGCAAGCCTGGGTCTGAGTGTCCCTCAGCCAATGAAATTTGAAACTTGGGCCCCTGCTGGGACATCTGCACCCTTGAGTGACATGTTTGACCTGTTTCCCCTGCAGTTCTTTGTCTTAGATGTTGTCATTAATTTTCGCCGTCTCAGTGAGGGAGATCTGTTCACTCAGTTGAAAAAAATAGTCAAAATGGCTTCCAACGAGGACGAGCGCTTGCCTCCAATCGGCCTGCTGACATCAGACGGGAGGAGCGAGTGGGCCGGGGCCAGGACAGTCCTCGTGAAAGGTCAGCGGCAGTGCTGTGTGCCACTCCACGTTCATCTCATCCTCATCATCCAGGGGCTGGGGCTATGGGCTTGTCACCGTAGGCCATAGCATAGGACAGATGGCCAGTCTTGCCATAAGCCCAGGGTCCTTTAGCTAAAAGCCACAACTGTCTGTGCCCTCATGTTCCACCTGCACATTCTAGTTTCCAGATGATACTGACCAAAGCTGGAGCTGTGCTTCTGATTTGGGAAATGGGCAGAGGAGGGTGAACTGCAGTGAAATAGCTGTGGTTCCTGGAGGCCAGAGGTAGTGAAGTCTGGTTGCTAGGGATCTGTGATGGAACCCACCTCTGGAGAGTATTTGCCATTTTTACCATGTGATCTATTGATTCTGGGACTTTCATCTTTAAGTAAACCTTTATCTTTCTGATCAAGGGCTAATCTTGTGAAGGCCTCTAGGCATTCTTATAAGAAACCCAGTGATATTCTCAAGTTACTTTACAAATCCAGAGCCAACCCTAGTCCTAGAAACCTATAGAGTGAGTGCATTTTTAAAAAATGTGAAGTTATACTTTTATGAGGCTCCAGCTGCAAGTAAATGAATAGAGAAGAGAGGGCATAGGAGGAGACTCAAATACCTGGTAATGTGATGTCTACACATATAAGTGAATATAGAGAACAATGGCCAAATAAGTGATCCAGGACTGCAATTGGGAGGCTTTTGAAAGGGTTCAGTGGAAGAAGTGGGAGTTAAGCAAGCCCTCTGATGTAAGAAAGAGAAGAAGTCAGGAGAGACAATGTCCAGGCAGGACATTCTGAACAAAGTTTCCAGTTCAGCAGAATCGGACCACCCTGCTCAGGGGACCATCAAGGTGTGGCTATGCTGGCTGTCCTGGGAAGATTAGAAGCAAGTGTTGTGAGACGATCTCTCACTATAAACATGTGCTCCTTCTGATCTCTTTCCCTAGATGGTTTTTTCCTCAACCCAAATGGCTCCTTACATCACCCAAACTCAGCACACAGGTTAATGCCCCAGATCTTCCTTGAATATCCCTCCCTTATACTCACACACTGTCACAGGCCCTCTCTATGTTTTTGTCTTGAGTTTATTTCTCATTCTCATTCTCAGAAGTGTGACTTTCAAATGGTCTTCTCTGCTTGGCTTAACTTGTGAACCTGCTGTGCCCAACAATAGGGGACTGATTTATTTGTTAAATATAAGGATTAGGTGTCACTAATGAAACTGGACCCCAAAATTGTTTTTCAGTTGTCAATTGACTCTTCTTTCATTCAATTATTAGAAATCTACTGAATGCTCAGTTCTTATAGCATACTGCATAGGCCACAGGAAGGTGACCTTGTTCCCATGGACTTGACCACCAAATTGGGGAAATTGCTAACTGATTTGAAAGAGTCCTGTTGGTGAGTGGTTAAGTGTTTAACTGCTAAGTGAAAAGCTGGCAATTGAAACCCATCAGCCTCTCCACAGGAGAAAAGCCCTGGCAACTCACTCCTGTGAAGATTACAGCCTAAGAAATCCTATGAGACAGCTGCTCTGTGTCACACTGGATTTCTATGTAGCAGGATCAACTCAGTGGCACCCAATGACATGTTTTAAAAGTGACCGCATTCCTATGGGAGATCCAGTTTCACTCCTTTCTTTTCCAGAGACAGAGATTGATAGATATAATCACTTCAACTCCCAATAGGGTCTCCCCTTTATTAGCAGCCAAGCCCCTGGCATCAGCCTCCAAGATTGACCAGGACTGTCCTCAGGCCCAAGTGCTTAGGTGAAACAAATTGGAATTAATTTTCTAATGACACTTGATCTGGCTTTCTGAATGGAAATGCAACTGCAAGGGAGAAAATATGGGCATTCCATCTGGAAATCCAATTAATCTCATTAGTGATGACGGTGACATCAGCACTGCAGGAAGTCTTTGATCATCTCTGAAGTCCACAGAAAGAGAAGATGGAGACCATGCAAGGCACTATTTCAATTTAAAAGTGAAGATTATGGCAATTTGGACTAGAGTAGAGCATGAAGTTGGTCAGGCATGAATGGAGCCTGGATATATTTTGGAATGGAAAAAGAAGGGAACAAGTCCTCGGTTTGATTTGTTTTGTTTTTAGCAACTCAGTGACTAGTAGTATCACTTATTGAAGTGGGAAACATGTTGTGGAAGTGGCTATAGAATGGAGAAATTGTTTCAGAGCATGCGAGGCTTGAGGTGCCTTAAGTCATCTAAGTGGAGACATCAAGTTAGATCTATGTGTCTGAAGCTCAGAGAGGAGGTCAAGCCAGAGGGATAAATTTTAGAAGCATGAGCACAAAAGTGATATTTAAAGCCATGTGTCTGGATGAGATCATCTAGAACTGGAGGAACAGGGGTTCAGAGGTCAGGTAGCGAAAGGCGTCAGGGTAGTGGAGAAAGAACAAGCAGAATAGTAAAAGGAAAGGCAGGATGTGAGTCACAAACATGCAATAGGGAAGAGGATTCTTGGTATAGAGGTGGCTAACCACATAGAATTCTGCAAAAAGGTCAAGGAAGACCCAAACAGAGAGGAGTCATTGGACTTAGCTATCTTGAAGTTGCTTGCTGATGACTTTGACCGTTGATTCAGTCTGACACAGTTTGATGAATGAAGAGTTAGATGGGAATGATCTAATATTGTTGCTGCCAGTTGTCAGTCATCAAATCAGTTCTTTATGTATAACATGCTCTTTGATATTTGAATCCACTGTTATGGCTATTGTGCCAATTCATCTCATGAAGGATTTCCCTTAATTTTGCTGCCCTTCTATTTTACAAACATAAAGCTGGATATTTCATTGTACAGTATGTGAAAGCTGGACAATGAAGTGACCCAAGAGTAGAAAGAAATTGGCAATGAGTCACTAAGCAGAACCATCAAGTGTAAATGACTTTTTGGAGACACTTTGGTATTTAAGGGAGCAGGGGAATGAAGAAGTTTCCAGAAGATGATGGGACCAAGAGAAATTGTTCAGTAGGAGATAGAAGCACATGGTTTTATGTTGATGAAAATAATGCAGTATCTGAAAGCAATTATTGACAATGAGAGAGGAGATAAATTCAAGTATAAGTTTCTTGCAAAGACAGAGTAAGATGGAAGTCAGATATTGAGAGGTTATTGACTGAAAACTTTGGCCGAGAGCCTATAGGACTGTAGCTGCTAGAGAATGGCCACTTCTGAGATGAGGATTAGGGGTAGGGAATATTCTGAAGGCAAAAGAAACTGACTTTAATTTGTGGTAACGCCAGGTGGAGCAGAGTACAGCTATGCCCCCAGAATTGTCAATGACTGATTTTTCCAAAGTGTATCAGTAGGCCTTTCTTACAGGCTCCTCTGTGTGTGTTCAGCACTCCAACTTGGCAGCTGAGCTTATTAACTGTCCATACCACTCGAGAACTCAGAAGACAAACGAGAACCTGTGAAATGGCATGTTGGGAAATGGGATAGAGAACTTACTCAGAAACTTGGTACGATTTCTTGGCTATGGTGAATTCATATTTATGAGAGTTTGGTGTCATACACTTTGTAGAAATTAATTAGCCTTGTTGCATGATTCTCCCTAAAGATATTCAACTCTTCAGGTTCAGGTAAAGAGAAGGTGGATCATTGGGGGTGCCCAAATGAATGCAACTGAGGAAGAGGGGGAAGATGTTGTAAATAAGGGGGTGCAGTGTTCCCGAAGAAAGTAAACAGGAAAGTGAAAGATAACATGAAGGGGCATGGTAAAATCAACTGTGGGTAGTCTCAATGAGGCTGTGCAAAGTTTGTGAGTTAAAAAGGCAAGTGTGTTGTCAAAGAATGGAAGACCTGACATAGATTTCAGAGACAGCAAGGAAATCCCTGTCCTGGGGGCCCATCTTGTGTGTGTACCAAGTTACTGGGCCATTATCATGTGATGCTATGGGCATGTGTGTATGGAGCCTTCAATAAACCTGTCCCCCCCAAAAAAAATTCCCTATCCAGACTTTTTGGCCCCAGATTCAAGAGTGTGAGAGGCTGCAGGGTCAGTGGGTACACAGAGGAATGGCGTGCCTCATTGAATGTGTGTGGAATATTTCCAAAGAAGAAATGTGCAGAGAAACGGACTAGGCCCAGGTCAACAAGACGAAAGGTTTAAGGAGAAAAGGAGCGGTGATGAGGTATGACTCTAGTAACATAACACGACACTCTCTAACACATTGCTGTTGAGTCAGAAGTAGGTTTTCAGAGGCAGTAAATCACACAAGAGGACATTGCCTGTCTTTCTCTCAAGAAGTAACTGGTGGGTTCGAACTGCCAGGCCTTTGTGTTAACAGCACAATTCCCTTCCCACTAGACAGCCAGAGCTCCTTCTGGGAGGTGCACACAATACTCAGCTATTAATCAAAACGTGGGCCTGAGTCCTCCAGAGGCTCTATGAGCAGAGTTCCAGGGATATGTTTCTCTTAAATTAGCCATTATCATGGGATTGGTTCCTTAACTTGGAGTTGTAAGGCCAAAGTTCCCTGGCACAGCCCAGTTACCTTGCTTAATAACATATTAAGTTACCAAGTGCTTCTGGTTTGGTACTTCTGTTCCACCTCCTGTTTCATGGCAAAGAACTAGAGATTCTAAAGTGGAGGGTGGGTGTTCCAGGCACAATAGTTGTTCTTTATTCACCTGAAGCACCAGAGAAGAAGGGGAGTCAGAAACAGGAGGATAAAATGAAATGTGCAGCTCCATTACCAATGCTTTCCTGGAGATGAAAGAAGAAGTGGAAATGTAGTACAGAATTCAAAAGCTTGTGGAATCCAGACTTTCAGAAGTGATGGAGGCTAGGTGAATCCCCAAAACAATTGTTTTGAGATAATCTTTAAATTTTAAAGCTAACTACTGAAGTATTCTTAAAATCAAACAATAGTTTAACTAGTAAAATAGAAAATCAGCATTGAAGAATGCACTCTTTTAAGAAGATCTATCTATATAGGATTTAATTGGCAATAGTAACTCAAATAGGGAACTTACA